GCACCCGGTACACCTTCAGTTCCGTCACGGCCTGCTGCGCCAGGTTCTCCAATGGGTCCTCTTGGCCCAGGTAAACCTTGATCTCCTTTTGGTCCTCTTGGCCCTGGAGCTCCGGTTCTTCCTGGATTTCCGACTTCTCCGGCAGGTCCGTTTGGTCCTGGTGCTCCCGGTACTCCTGGAGCTCCTCTTGGTCCTGGGGATCCGACGGGGCATTTGATGCATGTGGTGTCTGGAGCTGGACAGTCAGGAGCTGGTGCACCTGGAGTACCATCGTCTCCTGGTGGTCCTCGTTGTCCTGGATCTAAAAATTTGGAAAAAATGGATTTTTGCATGAAAGAGAAGAATAATGCAACAGTAAACTACTGTACAATACACTAGTCATTCCTGGTTCATCAGGAGGCGGTTTTTGTAACCGCTATTGTTATTTAAAATAGTTTTTTGCAACTTATATTGAAAAGCCTTTCTAATAAACAGAAAAAAATTTACATCCATCAATTCCTGGGTGCCCTGGAGGTCCGGGAGGTCCAGGTGGACATGTGGGTAGCGTTGGTTCGCACTGGCAGAATTCAGGTAATTCAGAAAAGATGTCACGCCTTTTACGGAAGATACTGCCAAATGGGTTAGGACGGGGCTTGCCCGCTGGGGTAACACTAACTTGAATGTCCATTATTTGACTCCATGCGGAATCGGTATCAACACGGAAATTCTGAAAGAGAATAGTTCCTGGTAATACAAATAAAAACCTAGAAAAAATTTAGTAGTTTACAAAGATACGCTTTGTTTTAAGCACTTAAATAACATTTTTATTATTATATATTTTCAGAATAAATATTTTTGCGTTTAGCTTTTATTGATATTTGTTTGAAGAAAAAAAATTGGCTTACGCGAATGCTGTCAAAGACTTCATCCTGAACCTCATTGATGACCCCATAGATTGCTGGAATGATGGCTGCACATGCGAGAATGGCCAAAGTTCCGCACAACGATGCAACACCGATAATCACTTTCGTCTGATGCATTCTTTCTCTTTTCTAAATGAAACAGATCTTCAATTCTCGGTTATTTATAGAGTGGCTTTTTTGGTGTTCTACTTTTTATCGTCGGAAGTGCAACAATTCTAGGATTTATCATCCGATTCCTTCTAATTTTTTGTCTTGAAGTTCCGTTTCCCAACAAGTATTTCAACAACCCAGCAAACATCTATGCATGATATTGGTATGTTGTTCAGTTATCAATGCGTTTTCGGCAGGTCATTCAATCTTGTTTATGGCTTCAATTAGGCCGACTATGCGCAAATCGTGTTTTTTTCTATGGTCCTTTTATACATATAATCACATCGAAAGAAAGAAAAAAAA